TGCATTCTACCTTCTCGAACCTCGAAGGTTTTGTTTACTTGGTTTACTACCAGTAAAGAGTCACATTTAGCTTCAATCATTTCTGCTCCCAAGCTTTTGGCCAGCTCGAGACCTGCAATCATGGCCTCGTACTCGGCCTCATTGTTAGTTAACCTAGAAGTTTTGATAGACTGCCTAATGATGCCACCCGTGGGGGGTTTCAGCACGATGCCAAGCTAGGACCCCTTCACATTCGAAGCACCATCTGTGAAGAGGGTCCAAACCCCCAATGATTTACCAGATTTTAACAAGAGTTCTTTTTCAACTACGGGTATGAGGGCTGGCATGAAATCGGCCACAAAGTCTGCTAAATTTTGAGACTTGATGGCCGTACGGGATTGATATTCGATATCATACCAACTGAGTTCGACAGCCCATTTGACCAATCAGCCTGATAGCTCGGGCTTGGGCAAAATATTACGAAGTGGATAAGTGGTTAATACACATATGGGGTGACATTGAAAGTACGGTCTTAACTTCCTAGAGGCGCTTATCAGTGCTAGCGCCAATTTTTCTAGGTGCAGATATCTAGTTTCTGCTTCTCCTAAGGTCCGACTTATATAATAAACGGGAAATTGCATACCTTGCTCTTCTCGAACTAGGACACCTCTTACCGCGATTTCCAATACTGCCAAATACAAGCAAAGTTTTTCGTCTGTTTTTGGAGTATGAAGCAGCGGTGGGCTCGATAGATATCGTTTTAATTCCTCTAATGCATGTTGGCATTCTGGGGTCCAAGCGAAATCGTTCTTCTTTTTGAGTAGAGAGAAAAATTTGTGACTTCGATCTGACGATCTCGAAATAAATCGGCCTAAGGCTGCAATCCGTCCTATTAGCCTCTGTACGGCTTTCACGCTGTCCACGATGGTGATGTCTTCGATGGTCTTGATTTTATTGGGGTTAATCTCGATCCCCCGATTTGACACTATGAAGCCGAGGAACTTGCCCAAACCGACCCCGAAAGCATATTTCTCGGGGTTGAGCTTCATGTTGTATTTACTTAAAATCTCGAACGTTTCCTGCAAATGGGTCAAATGGTCCTCTGCGCGCAGGGACTTAACTAGCATGTCATCAATACAAACTTCCATTGATTTACCTATTTGTTCTTCGAACATTTTATTTACTAGGCGTTGGTAAGCAGCTCCCACATTTTTTAGCCCGAAGGGCATCACATTATAACAATATATTCCATATTTGGTGACAAATGAAGTCTTTTCCTGGTCTTCCGGGTTCATCTGGATTTGATTATACCCGGAATAGGCATCGAGAAAAGTAAGGATCTCGTATCCTTATAGTCTACACACATTCTAAGTTTTTTCCCTTTTTTAGGCACTACAACTACATTGGCTAACCATTCGGGATATTTCACCTCCCGAATAGACCCTATCTTGAAAATTTTGGTTACCTCGTCCTGTATGAATGCGTGCTTTACATCAGACTGGGGTCTTCTCTTTTGCCTCACCGGTCTCAACCTAGGATCCAAGCTTAACCGATGCATCGTTATGTCCGGCGAGATCCCTGTTATATCTAAATGGGACCAGGCAAAGCAATCAATGTTATCGATAAGAAATTGAATAAGTTTTTTCCTGAGTTCGGGGGTCAATCCCATTCCCAGGTGTACCTTCCATTCGGGTCAGTGCTCGATTGGTGTGACTTGCTCCAATTCCTTAATCATTGATTTGGTAGCGTCGGAATCATTAGGAATCACGAAGGATCGAGGGATCCTTTGATCATCATCTTCGTCGATCTTCTGATTATCTGGTCGGGTTAAGGCCGATGTCTGTGATTGCTATTTGGTATCTCGTTCCCCTTTTGATCCCGATCTCTTTGCTTGCGAAGGCGGGGATATTGGATTCGCTTCCTCGATGGCAAACATTTCTCTTGCGGCCAGTTGTTCTCCGTATACTGTTTTGACTCCTCTCGATGTTGGAAATTTAAGGACATTGTGTAGGGTCGAAGGTACGGCTCTCATGTTGCGGATCCATGGCCTTCCAAAAAGGGCATTGTACCTCATGTCACCTTCGATTACGTGGAACTTCGTTTCTTGGATGGTCCCGGCCACGCTTGTCGGTAGAACTATCTCGCCCTTGGTGGTTTCACATGCCATATTGAATCCGTTTAGAACCAGGGTTGCAGGTACGACCTGGTCCTGTAAACCGAGTTGTTCTACGACTTTCAATCTAATGATGTTGGCCGAGCTACCTGGATCAATTAACACACGCTTAACTTTAGTTTTATTCATAAGTACGAATATTACCAATGCATCGTTATAAGGTTGTATGACTCCTTCTACATCTTCATCATTGAAAGATAGAGTTCCTATGGGTGCGTAATCCTGAGTTCGAGATCGCTTTTCTCTCATAATCGATGTCTTAGTGCGCTTAAGCACCGGCCCTTGAAGGGTATCGACACCGCCGATGATCATGTGAATGACGTGCTGTGGTTCTTCTTGTTCGTTCTGCTTGCCGAAATCCCTGTTTTTGAAATGGTTCTTCGCCCTGTCGCTTAAAAATTCTCGAAGGTGCCCTTTGTTGAATAACCGGGCTACCTCCTCTCTAAGTTGCCTGCAATTTTCCGTTCTGTGGCTGTGGGTGCCATGATATTCGCATATTTGATTGGGATTCCTCTGGGCAGGATCGATCTGCATGAGTCGAGGCCATTTAGTGTCTTTGATGCGTCCGATAGCTGACACGATGGCGGATGCATCGATGCTGAAGTTATACTTCGATAACCGAGGCGTTTCCCTAGATCCGGCAGGCCTGTCGAACCTACCTTTGTTCATCAGCCCTCGGGACCCTTGACCTCGATTATTTCTTTTGTTATTTTGTCCGAGGTTATGTCTCGAATCACTGATTTTGCAGTTTCCGTTATATGGTCGATATCGATCCCCGATCTGACCTTGTTCTCGATTAATGTCCCTTCGAGCAGCGGGTTCAGACCCCAATTGATCATCTTCGACCCTAATTTTTGATTGGTACCGATTGTGTACGTCGGCCCACATGATGGTTGGGTATTCGATCAGGTTATGCTTCAACCGCCGTGAAGCCGTCGAACTTCGTTCGTTCAAACCTTGAGTGAAAGCCTGAACAGCCCAATCGTCTGTGACTGGTGGCAGATCCATCCGTTCCAATTGAAAACGAGATAGGAACTCCCTCAGCATCTCGTTATGTTTTTGTCTTAACTTGAAAAGGTCTGATTTCCTTGTAGCGATTTTTATAGCGCCAGCGTGTGCTTTTACAACAGAATCTGCTAACATGGCAAACGAGTTGATGGAATTTGGTGGTAGGTTGTGATACCAAATCATTGCTCCCTTCGAGAGGGTCTCTCCGAATTATTTTAACACAGATTCGATTTTGTCGTCTTCTAAATAATTGCCCTTGATAGCACACGTGTAAGAAGTGACATGCTCGTTGGGGTCGGTCGTTCCGTTATATTTGGGGATTTCGGGCATACGGAATATTTTGGGGATTGGTTTGGGGCTGCACTCAAGGAAAAAGGCTTTTGTACGAATTTCTTGGAATCCAACCCTTTTATCATGGGCGGAGCCCCTGGGATTTGATCGACCCTGGAATTATATGTTTCTACTTTCTTATAGTTGGCTTCGATTCGTTTTGTGAGCTCCTCAAGTATTTTAGCAATTTCGGGAGTAGTCCCTGATTCTTGCTTGTTTGACCTTACTACGGCTGGCTCCGTTCGGTGGGCAATTTCTCGAGGTGGACTGGGCTCTGGTCTGCTCGGTAGCTGGGTTTGGCTCTGCAACTGAGCTATCTCTACCTGCTGGGCTTGCAACATTTCAAAGATCATACGCAAACTGGCTCCGTTCTCCTCCACGTTATGGGAGTTTCGAGCTGCGGATCGAGTGCCGCCATGAATACTATTTTCAATCTCAGAACGTTGGTTTGCCTCAAATGCCACATGCGAGTTGACATCTAGCGGTACTTCGGCTCGAGCTTCAGGTACTTCGACTCGACATCGATAAGCGGCCTTCCGGCCCTGGGCATCAAGTTATTGGTTTCGTCTTGAAGGCCATTAATCGAGGGTTTGCCATTGCTGATTCGAAGTCAAAGACACCCTCAAAAGACGAGCGTAAACTGGTGTGTATTGCAAATTTGTATCAAACAAACACTGTTATCCTTAGCCCCACGGTGGGCGCCAAACTGTTTACCCAAAAAAATGGATAGAGTTAAATTTGTACGTAGTTCTAAGGATATGTGATATAGCTTAATACAAACCGTAGGTATAAATAGAAATATCAAACATGGATTGCAAAGAGTACAAAATAAACAAGGTTGTAAAGAAGAAGATTTTTAGGACTGAATAGGTTGAATCAATTTATGATGCTTAAAAGAACAACTCTTCAGCGTAGGAAAATATAGTGCTTGAATTACAATGTAAGCAAAAACTTGGTCTTTACAGAAATAACCATCCCCTTTATAGTAGAGGGATCTTACTTTAGATATAATTAAAAATACATAGTGGGAGACCCATGATAAATCAGTTTTTCTATAATTCCTGCCAGGATTCTCTCCTCTAGTGGGATTGCAACGGCTCTTGTCTATGAGCTCGATATTGACTCGAGTTTTCGGTCTTGACTCGAGCTCTCGATCTTGACTTGAGCTCGATTCTGACTCGGATCCTTGCATTGATTCTGAGTCAGTGTTGGTCGGTCTCTGGATCATAAGCTCGATAACTTTACTTTGAATCATAGTTCGATTTAGATTCGAGCTTGATAATAATATCGAGCTCGACATTGATCAGTCCATCGGGCTCGAAGCTTGTTTGTACCATCTTCGGAACCCCTCTCGAAGTCTTACTCCGATCTATTACGTTTTGACCTCGATCGATCGTACGAAAGCCGAAATCTATTTCGACCGTATACGGAAATAGAGATAGAATAGACTCAACTGTTGAATACCTTTACACAGTTATTCACATCACACCAGAGACAAATAGACTGTCCAAAACAACCATTCAATATCACACAGTATAATACATGAAAATCACTCTTGACATTGTTACTCAAACTTCTAGAGTCTCTCACCATAGCTAGTAAAAACTCACTTAATGCGACTGTGTATAGATTAAGACTAATATTCTGTAAACAAAATAAACTCCTTCACTATCAAGACAACAAGCTGTTGCGTAAAATGAACAAAGAAAATTTACCAACGACACCCCCTTCTATAACATCGATTGCCCTCATTTTTCTAATTTAATTAGTTGATCAGAATGCATTTGAGGGAGGGTAGAGATCCTTACACAGGTCAACTGAATAAAGATCACAATCAGCACTTCTCCTTGCTATCACCCTCGAAAGTGGGCTTGATTTCCTATTGAATTGTAAGCTATCAGTTGAAATCCTTTGCATACTTTGAGACAAACAATTGGTGTTTCTCTGCTTAACCTTTGCCTTGATAGACTTCGTGAGATTCATGTAACTCGGCTTCTTGCTATTTCCTTCTTCAGAAGTTGACAAGGATGAATAAGACGACGTACTATCATCATACGGATAATACTCCGAATAAGGCTCAGAAGATGAATTGACAATTTGACAACTCATTGGTCCTCTTGCAGATATCCTGGTAGAAACATTATTTCGTCTAATATTCACTGAACTTCGCTCTGATCCAACCGCATAATCTTCATGCTTCCTAGAACTTGGGGTCATCCCCGATGCATCGGTATGGAATTCGTCAACTAATCTACTTTCCCAAGGCTTATTCGCCATCCAACGCTCTAACCAATTTGAATCCCCGTTAGCCTTAATCTTACTTAAGGTTTCCACTTTCCTTGCTCTTGAATTCGGGCTTGGGTTTGTTCTCAGTTTCTGAAATAGATAAGTTAGACAACAATTACATCTAATTATAAACCACTGTCATATAAGATGTTTTAGAAAACAAATACATTACCTGTTGTGCATATGCAATGGCCCTTTCTCTCTTTATTGCGCCGACTTGTCTCATTTTTAACTTAGACCTCACTTCATCCACTGTGCCAGGGCTATCACACCATCCACCCTGAGAAAGCCAAAGTTAGAAACTTTCATGTAACACTAATAATCCAATTTGTATGTGAAACTAGTGATACCTCAGCTTGCTTAACTGGATCAGCTTGGCTAGAGTTATCAGCAAGAGATCCTTTCATTGCATCTCCTTCAAGGGATGTTTGAGTGCATTGGGCTCTCATTCGGGCCTGAACTCGAACGAGAGCCTGCATGCACTTGAGGGTCATAGCAGCTTGCTTTCTCACCTGTCGTCCACGAAATATAGCTTGTAGCCTAACTAATGCTTTCAATGCCCTTAATGCACGCCTTGCCTTTCGATCAGTACAAAAAAAAAAAACTCATTAGCTGCATAAACCATTCGCCAAAGGTCAAGCGGGAGGAAACAATTACAAGGATATAGCATGGGAATGTCTCTACATTGAAAATTTGAGATCAAGAATACCATACAACAATAATTACGCCTCAATTCCAAGCAACTTTGGTTTGGTTGTATGAATCAACATTAATCATGTCGCTCTATTTAAGCTCATCTCAGACGAGCATGAAAACCATAAGGAATTAACTTTGTAATGCATTTTAGGTCTAGTTTTTTGGTCTTGGCAAGAGGCAAACATATGTTATACTGAGAGGGGTCACCGGCACCCGTAAAGTTCGGGAAAGTTTCATGTATACATGTATATGTAGTGGGCACCCTATATATAAAGTAGATTTTGGTTGAATCCAAAAGTGCACCCCCGACCTTCAAATCCTGAGTCCGCCTCTGGTCTTGGCAATGGAAGTATTATCATTCAAATACGAGTAAGCTTTTGTCGATCAACATCCTATCAGACAGTTGCCTCCTAATTATACACTCATCTAGATGTGTTTCTAGAACTGCAACTTTTCTTGGTTCTGTTTTCAGGTTTCAGCAACATTTTCTCCAAAGTTGTGCTTTGTCGTTCCCAACACTTAAATGAAAAAAATTCATTTTCTTTTCATATCTTTGAAAGAGAAAGTTGGCTCCTGATTATACACTCATCTAGATTAATGAAAAAAAATACTTTTCTTTTCATATTCATATAGTATTGGGGCGAGTTGATTAGGCAAGATATGAGTTTGCTTTAAGCTCACCTAGAACATAACTCTTAATAGGAAGGTGTGGAGGTCAAAGATTAAGGTCGTAGGTTAATAGGTAGTTGTGCGGGTTTCCGCACAATTACCGTGCTATTAGTGGCAGTCTTGTATTCTAATATTGTAGATTTCTATCTTCATGTTGTTCCTTCCGCCTTGTTTTATTTTATTTTGTTCTCGTTATTTGTTGTTGCTACTGCTCTTTCCTCATTTTTTGCTCGTGACAAGGGTCTATTCGAAACAGCTTCTCTACAAGGGAAAGGTATGCGTACTATCTAAGCTCTTCATACCCCACTTGTGGGATTACAATGAGTATGTTCTTGTTTTTGTTTTCATGTTCATATCTAAGTAACAAACAAATCTTTGTGTGGAGATAATTGCAAAAAGGGAAAACATAAAAATTACCAGAAAACCGCGAAACGCAGCCTGAATTCGAATAGCAGCCCATTCTTTTTTCACAACAATAAAATCTTTGTGTGGAGCTCTGACTACAGTAGCCATTGCAGCAGCCAAAGTAGTGTCGGACATGAACGAAGACTCTGACCCTTCTGAATCTCCCAAATGGCCACCACCTTTTACACCTTTCGAGGACGACATAGCTATTCCTCCAGAAGCACTCCTCCACAGCTTCCATTTTCTACTCTTGATACCACCTTTCTCCTACGCAATTATAATTAACAAAAAATGTCAAGAAAATCATAGAACCAGAGTAAGGAAATATTCAACTCATAGATGCGAGCGATCGAGCTTACAGGATCGTTGGATTGGTTCTTTTTTGAGCTGATTAATGATTTAATCCACTTCCCTGAACCACCCATGTTTTTGTGTTCCTTGAAAAAAAGGTGAACTGGTACTTTTGATTTGAGGGAGTACAGAACAGACAGAGAAGTAAAGAGGGACAAAGGGGTTTTAGAAAACGCTGTCTGAAAAATTAAAGAGAAACGTTGCGATTTGAGAATTCGAAGGGATTGTGGAGTTTTAATTACTACAGATATATGGAGGTTCTTGGGTTTTAAATTTTAAAATTCGAAAATGATAAGGAAAAAGAGGAAAGTTGTAACGGATAGTTAGTGGAAAGTGGAACGACGTAGTAATAAGCTGACATTTCTCCCTCCCCCCTTAGTTTAAGCTGACACATACGACGAATATTAGTGGGAAAGTGAAAGGAATTTCCGGAAAAAAGGTAGTTAAAACATGCCTTATATAAATTTGCGTGTAAAGTACAATTAATAATCAAAGTAAGTCCCCACGCCTTTACTTAATGCCGAACAAGGGTGTTCATGGTTCGGTTTGGATCGATTTTTTTTAAAAAGAAATCAAACAGAGTAAGTCGGTTCTTCAAATATTGAAACCAAACCAAACCAATTAAGTCAGTTTTTTATCGATTCGTTTTTATCGGTTTTGGTCGGTTTCTGTTTTTTCGGTTATTTTTTGAATTTTTTCTTAAATATGAGACATACACTACCAAACAGATATTCCAGAGACTACATTTTCAATATAACATTATCAAACCAATTGTTGTTTAAAAAATCTATCATTTACCAAGATATATTGACGATAATTGAATCAACTAGTGATGAATAATCTAAGTACTCAATTAAAAATCGATTATTTTTAACATGAAATAAATTCTTGTACTTAGCAAAAGAAAACTTCCAATCAAACTAGAATGTAAAGGCAAAGAATTAAATTATTTNTATATAGGTATAATAATAAATTTAAATAGCTACTTCTATAGTCGATTTAGTTCGGGTTTTTTTGGTTTATTTTTTGATTAAAACCAAAACAAAACCAAATTTAATCGATTTTTAAAATTCAAAACCAAAATCAAACCAAACCTAAAAAGTATCGGTTTTTTTGGTCGGTTTGGTTTGGTTTTCGGTTTGGTTCGATTTTTCGAGTTTTTATGAACACCCCTAATGTAGAAGAGAGAGGAGAGAGTAAACAAATTTCGTTGGACAGAAAGTACTAGAAGATGTGTTTCTCTATATAACCACAAAGATTTTCTTTCCTATTTTCGATGAGGGACAAACTGCATTAGTAAAGAAAACAACTTCAAACTTTTCGTTTTCCTCTAAATCTTTTCCCTTCATTTCTCATTCACACCTCTTATCTAATTAGATAAAATCCAATAGGTGCAACGTGATAGGAGTGGGCATCGGTCGGTTCGGTTCGGTTTTGTAGAATTTTGATTCGGTTAATTCGGTTTTCGATTTGTGATTTTAATAACCAAAACCGAACCATATAACTTCGGTTCGGTTTATTCATGTTCGGTTCGGTTTTCGGTTTCAAGCCATGACAAAAATAGTACAAAATAACGAAAATAGATTACTTTTTGCAGCCGATGCAAGTGCTTCTACTGTCAATAGCGAAAAACATAGCTAGAAAAAATTGGGTAGAACAACAAACTGCCCATTCACTCTATTTCAAATAGAGAAAGAAAAATATGTTGTATATATATTAAAGTGAAAGTGACTATTTTCATTAGTAATTTGCCCATTATTCTTAAGTCAACTCGACACTAGTATTTAAAAATTAAGGGCTGCTATAGCATAAAAGCACGCCATGTAACATGTGAACTAGATTATTCATCTACAACACAAAAATAATCCTCAAAATAATAGATGCACAAATAATGAATAAAAGCAACTTGCACATGATTTGTTACATATAATTGAGAACTGAATATTTTTTTTTCATTTGTTTCATTATTACTATAAAATAATTAATCAATCATTTCTTCATTATAATATTTGCTTTACTTCGTGCCCCTGAGGAATCAACGTGAAATGGCTCTGGGTTTTTTACAACTTGTATTTTTCTTTTGGATTTCTCGTCGTCAGCTACTTATTGCAGAGGTCCGATTAATTTTTCGATTTAATCGAAAACTGAACCATTAAAACCAGAGGCGGATCTAGAAATTGAAGTGTATGGATTCCTACCGCAATTTTAAGTCAATATATTACAATAACCGAATTAAGGAACGAGTATCAATATCCAACATATATTTAGAAAATAACAAAATACTTAAAGACAACATATGAATAATTGAATATAAATATTATCATTACAATTGTACTCGACGACTTGTCATGTTTTGAGAACAATCAATGATCGCATCATTAGGTACACTTTCAAATACTTCATCCTCTATATAACAAACTAAACAATCATTAAAAAATTCATCACCAATTCTGCTTCGCAAGTCATTTTTAACGTACTTCATCGAAGAAAAAGCTCTTTCTACCGTTGCAGTAGCGATAGGCAATATCAAACTTAACTTCACAAGCAAATAAACAAGTCTCCAAATCATGTGCAAATTTGTTTTAACCAATATCTCTGAAAGATCTCCAAATCTTTTCAAGTTAGAGAATTCATTGCCCGCCTCTCGCACATAGTCATTATAGATGTCAAGCTCAAAAGTAAGATCCTAAAGTATAGAATCAGTGAACTCATTCGGATAGTGTGTAGCAAGTTTTATAATCTTGTCTTTATCATAATTTGCAAAAGAATTATCTGGACTCAAACTAGCCATACCAAGAAGTAGATTAGTATTTACTTCATTGAAATGATTGTTAAGCTCCGAAAGTTGCAAATCAATAATAGCATAGAAAACCTCTACACGCAAATGATAAAAATATGTAACACTTGATTTCTTATGCTTTGATTTTTCACGAACATAATTCATATCCATTTCGGTGATCACAATATCATGCTTGACATAAAATAAACAGACGTCTTTTATCAAAGAATTCCATCTAGAATCTCTCATATCTTGCAATTGTCTCTTTGCGAAACCAACAAGCTTCATTGCACTTACAATATCTTGATCTTTTTTTTACAAAGCCATATTTAAATCATATGTAAGTGCCAATACTTTCAACATTAAATATAACATATACACAAAGTCATAGGATCTTATGTCATCCACTAGACTTTTTGCCATTGATCTCTCATGATAATTTGAACCGTCAATTGCAAGAACTCCAAGTACATGAACAATTGATGAGAATAAACTAATAAAATTATGCATTGTCTTAAAATGAGAACCCCACCGAGTATCACCTGCCCTTTGAAGTCCAAATTCTTGATTTAAACCGCTTCCTGTATGAACTTCACCAAGCACTAGTAGTTCCTCTAATTTTTCTGCTTGATCATCTCGAAGCATCTCCTTACGCTTAAAAGAACCCCAAACAATATTTAAAACATTTACAAGAATATCTAAAAATTATTTGGCCTCATAATTTTTTTTGCAACAACTATAAGAGTCAATTGCAATTGATGAGCAAAATAATGTATGCAATATGCTGAAGGAGTATCATTCATAATCAAAGTTTTAAGACCATTAATTCCTCTCCGCATGTTACTAGCTCCATCATAACCTTGTTTCCGTATTTGAGATTTACTCAATGAATGTTCCAAAAGAAAAGAATAAATTGCTTCTTTTAATGACTTTGCAGATGTATCTTTAACATGAACAATGCTAAGGAATCGCTCAATAACTTTACCCTCTTTGTTGACATAATGCAAAATAAGCGTCATTTGTTTCTTATGAGAGACATCCTTAGACTCATCAACCAATATCCCAAAGTAATCTCCGTTCAAGTCTTCAACAATTGCTTTCAGTGTTTCTTTCGCACAAGAACTCACAATGTCTTTTTCTATATTTGGACAAATTATAATGTCATTTTTTGGAGCATTTTCTAATACAACTTTCTTTACATCATCCTTCTTATTTGCATACCATTTTAAGAGATCCAAGAAGTTGCCTCTTCTTGTAGAAGTTTCACATTCATCGTGACCCCGAATAGACATTCCTTCTTTCAAAAGATACCTTGCAACATCAATTGAGGCATTCAGGCGAACCCGATACTCACCTTTAGTTTTCTCGGATTGCTTATCAAAAGATGTTAAAATAGATTGTGCTTGATTCGATAAATCTAGCATCATCTTGAAATACCGATTATGAACACTATTCAATTCACCCATATGTGCGTTAAGCCTCTCTATACCTTTATTCCAAGCCCTAAAATCATCTTTTGTAAAAGAATCACTTACTTTTTTTCCATATTCTCCTATCTCATTTCTAAACAAATAACAACATAAGCAAAATGCTGCATCTTCTTTAATACTGTATTCTAACCATCCAGAATATGAAGTATTAAACCATTCCGGATTAAAATGACGCAATTTTCCACCAAAATTTATTTTTGAAAAAATAAAATTGCGAGACCGACAAGGCCCTTTTTGAATGTAATGTCTTCTCACTCGGTCATGTAGATTAGGAAAAAATTCTGAAATTTATTTTCTTTCACCAGGATCAGGTTTAAGAAGATTCTGATCCAATATAATATCTTTGTGTGATGGTTAGGAAGAATTGATATTATCATTAATCACTGGACAGGAAGGAGAGCTTAGCGAAGGAGAACTAGAAGTAGAACCTGAAGAGGTCTGCGGCTTAAAAAATCTCTTGATCACATCGAGTCTCACTAAAATGCCCTTACAAATCATAAGACACAAACTAAATATTACAGATGAATATAAGAGGAAAATAGTTAAGAAATATTATTTCATATAATATAATATAAGAGGAAAATAGTAATTAAAAAAAATATGAAAGAGAGAGAGGACCTACAATGGATCACTGCTTGTCTTTGATAGGCAACAAAAGAAAAGTCAAAATTGAAGAAGAACGAAGAACCAGAGGCTCAAGTCTCAACAAGATATTTGAAACCCTAACTTTTTTTTTCAATGTTTTGATTTGGGTATTTGGGACAAAGCAACTTTTGGGGACTTTTTGACATGGTTGTTTCTTTTTAGGTTCACTTTAGTCATCTATTATTATTATTATTATTTAAAAAATAGACTAAAGTGGACTCAAACTTGCATCACCAAGAAGGGAAGCGGGCCACATCGGGATTCCAGGACCATTAGACTAGAAATGCATTTTGGAATTGGGTTCCCATATAATTATTGTTATATATTCAATAGATTTTTTAATACAAATACAGCATCTACACAAAAGCTACTGGGTTCCCGGGAACCCATACATATGACTGTATGTTCGCCCCTAATTAAAACCGACCACCAAACCGAATACCGAACTTTTTAAAATTATAAACCGCAAACCGACCGAATAAACCGAAAAATCGAATAAATCGAAATTTTCGGTTCGGCCGATTTTTTCGGTTCGGTTGGTATTATGCCCACCACTACGGCGTGGGTGATTTGGTAAATTGGCTTCGCGTGCCTAGTTATTTTATTCGAAGATTGGACATCGGATTTAAGAAATTAAAGTATATTTCTGAATAAGTTATATACTATAAGGTATCAAAAAATATTCGTGATGATGAAAGTTTTGCATGTTTCTTATGTCATTCAATAAAATGTAAATGTTAAGATCAAATAGTCTTCAAATAAAAAGATTATTGGTTTATTGTCCTTTTACTGAATGAAAGTATGATGCATTGATAAGGTAGGGAAATGTTATCACCATAAGTATTCTTCTATCTTTAATTATAGGTATTGAATTCGAGTATTGAGAATAGAATCAACTTTGATAGGTAATATTTAATTAAGTTCGACTTTTCAATCAGAATTCGAATTAACCAAATAGCGCATGAAAATATTTTTTAAGAAGGTAAGAAAATGCTGTGTGAAATATTGAGAGTTCAAAGTAATGAAAGTTAATGACAAATGTCCAAACGACATCTCCACCGGGCAATAACTTCAAAAAAAGACTTGTCTTTTGAATCAGCTGGTGTCCCTTCCTCTTTATATCTTGCTCTATTTTAGCGTGACATCTGATCATTTATTAGAGAATTTCAAATTTCCAAGATTTCAAAATGGCATTTCAAGTATTCATGTCCCGAAATAAAGTTTGAAGTGAACTCGATTTGAATTTGCATCTTAGATTCAAATTTCCATAGACATATGCAAACAGAGGTAAAGGTGGCGTTTGGACTAAATTATTATTTTTTACTTCTTTTGCCTTTATTTTAGGTCTGGATTATTGTGAGAGAACTATTTTATGTTTTGATTATTCTGTTTTATTTTTAAAACAAAACATGTTTGGGATAAAACAACAAAAATACTCCAACTGTGTTAAAAAGGGGAACAAAAATATTTATTTTCTTAGACATTCAAAGTTACTATCGTATTTACTTGTGTTTACACGAAGTTGCTTGCATTTTTCTTTGCAGCAACTCTGTAATTAGGGGCGGAGCTAGAAGGTGAGATACATTAATGGCGACCTAATAAAAAACATTGCAGAACTTCCAAAATGTAGGTCGCTTTTGCAACTGGCGACCTATATTAAAATTTTTATTTTATGCTTTTTCTTTTTCTTTTTCTTTTTTAAATTAGATTAGTCAAAAATATTTTTTATTTGCAGCTACTTAGTTAATTTGATCCTTGGGCTAGGCAGCACGTGGAATGGTTTCATTAGTGGAAATTTTGGTGCAATCATCTTTTGTTTCATTTGTAAAGCTTGAGACTTTTAGCTTGTCGTTGTCGGTTGTGGCGATCCCCGGAGGGATATCATCATCTATTGCGTATTTCTACATAAAGAAAAAAAAGGATTACAGTTAGTTAATCCCTCACATTAATTTATATTTTGTAGATTAACTAATTTAAAACAAAATTAATGTTTCAGCAGAATATCAATTACTATTGACCTTAACATTGCTCAAGTCAACATGGTGCTCCTTAAGAAAGCTTATTAATTCCTCAAAATGCTCTTCTGTTGGTCTATAATGACCACTGTATGACCAAATAGCCTGTCAAGAAGCAGAAAGGACTAATAAACAACAAACTGGTATATGTTGCAAAAACTAGCACAATATTTTTTTTAAGAATTAACCTAAAAACAGTCAACCAACTCCTTAAATTAAAAATAGCGATATATATATAATTCATGTATAATCTGTATATAATTATATATAATGAGTTTATAATTTATGTATACCGTTACCGTCTAAAAAAATAAATGATGAATCTGGCCGACTAATTATATAAAGATTACTCTTTTTTTTATTGACACCATTTTGGAACTTCATTCTTCTTTACATAGGATTTATTTCCTATGTTGTTATAATCTAAAGAAAGAAAGATATCAAAAGCTCTAAAGCATATAGCAGAAATTAAACTGATTGATCATGCACCAAGTTAACTACTAAAAACTTATTACAACAAACTTTTGATAACAAACATAGATTGGTATTCTGCGAAAGAGCGTACATGACTTGTTACAGTTGATAGTGATAGTAAAGAAAGTCCGTTGCTTAAAAAAATCTCGCTTTTACGTAGGGGGAATGGTCGCACACTTGGAGTGTGATGTAGACAGACTACCCTAATGCAAGCATTAATGACTATTTTCACAATATCGAATATCGATAGTGATAAATTTAAATCGTTACGCTAACGTACCTCGAGCTCCCCACTAGAGACAACCAATCTTCCAGATGCAAGAGAAGCACCTCCAGCTAGAAAACTTGAGTGGTGAAAATTGCCTTTTTGCTTTTGTCCAACGTATAACGTCCTTGAGGTGCTGAGCACAAATATCCATTGTGTACCCTCAACATTAGTGTCGACAGAAGAACCTGTTTTCTTATAAATTAGCTTTCCAATTTCCAGAGTTACTTCGTATGCTTCCCTCTCTTTCTGCATATTTAAATGCACAAATTGAACTTTATAATCAACGATATTAGTAATAAAATTTATAAATTTAGTAAAATTTGTGACAAAATTCCCATTTTCATCCCAAATTCGTGACGGTCACTGATATATAGACTTTATTTTTATAAAACGAAAATATCTTGTTAATAAATTCGTGACAAAATCTCCTCGTTCGTCACAAATTTATGACATGCATATATAGCTCGGTCACAAATTTGTGACATAATTTTGATAGACTCTCATTCTCACCAATTTGCGATGCAATTGTCACGAATCCTTTTGTTCGTCACAAATTTAGTCAACATTAATGAATTCCATCATAAATTTATCATAATTTTGTGACCAATGTATCCGTAACAGATACACTATGTGTTTTTCATGTGGTAATGTAATTAAGTACTCGATGAGATCATGTTTAGCACAAGGGCGGAGCTAGAATGTTAGCTAAGGATTCTCATAAATCTAGTAACTTTTGTTTAGACTCTATATTTTTACGAAGAAATTCATAATATACAAATAGTTAATTGTGAATGTAATAGTTAAAATGAATTATGAGTTTGATGTTAATTTCAAAATTTATGAACTTTAAATTCTGACTACGACTCCGATTTATAATCATACTAGCTAGTTGACAATAAAGGCTTACTGGTCCAAGATACGTGATGCATTGGGACTGTAGATCACTCCTTGAACATTTCTCGGCGTTAACTTCTTTTCCTTCACCAATATCTAGCCTGTATTTTTTGAAATATTGCACGCAAAAATATATAAGTAGTCAGCCAGTTAATATAATTCAGCTAGTAGAAATATCAAGAGAACATTTTTTGGTTGTATATATAGTGTCAATATTATACCAGTAGAAGAATGGTTGTGAGCTTTCGGTATTGTACCATACATCGTAATAACGATGTAAGTTGAGACCATAGCGGTGGCGTGGGTCAATCTGAATTTAATTTGCATAAAAGAAATGTTGTCAAGAAAATTAGTATAAGAGATGAATTTCAGAATAAGAACTCATTAATTTCACTTACAGCTTCTAACCAGTTCTTAATATATAATGTTTGAGCTTTCTCATCCTTCAACAAGCCTTTTCCAACCTAATAATACCATGATTATAAAAGAAGGTAGGTGTGGGTAAGTTATTGTAACAATGATTGAAGTCTTAAGTGAAAGAATACCTTTGAAGCCATGGTCTTTGCCCGTGCCCAGCGTGAAACCGTTGTCTCTGTCTTTCCAATGTCAAAAAAAGACATAGAGCTTTGTCTAAGAGCTGCAAAATCTAATGCCTTCCACCTATATTATTTTTGACAAAGATCAATTTTAGCATGCGGCCGAAACTATATACGTAATTGTAAAAGTGTATAAAATATATATCGACTATTATTTTAATAGCAGTATAGAGTATTATTTTTTCTTTTATTGTTTTTAATAAAATGACCTTCAAATTAGATGATGAAAAAATTTATACAGATACGAGAATCACAAAACTAATACTACTATATATTGATAGAGATTAGAAATAACCGTAATTCCTCAAGGATACGTAGAGCTTCTTCTGAAATGGGCTTGTGATTTGGTTCTTGTGCTTCCATTTTCCTTTCTCTTAGTTCAATATGCATTTCTTCTTAATTGAACCATACAGTGCAACTAAAAAGCATTATCAATGCAATACTATATACTACTTGGACAAGAAAGGAGCTAGAGAGAGAGACTTGTAATTGGAAGAATAAAAGGTCAATTTTTGCAGCTTATTGTACGTGACCTTTGAATAAGTTTGATCCTTCCATTGGGTTGCTATGAATGGAAGAATGTTATACTTTAATTTCTTCCAACTTTTCTCTTATTCCCTAAACTTCTATTTTGTTTCTTTTCCTCTTTCAAGTGGGCTCTACGCATCGCAGATTTGGATTAGTAGAGTCAAGTGAGTTTCGAATAACAAATGGTTAAAAAGCTTGAATAATAGAATAAAGAACTTACTTTTCTTTTTTGTTTCAATGTAGGTTTTCTAAAAAACTTTAAGATCTTCTTCTGGCAAGTGGTGTACAGGGGCGGATGCACTTATAACGAAGCGGTATTACGCAATACTATTTCGTTGATTTTTTTTTTTATCAAATATATGTATTAATATTGTGAGGAAACTGACAATTAGGAAAAAATAGTGCTACTTGACATAAATGATCTCGTGGGATATAATAGGAAACACGCAAATGTGAATTTCTGTGATGTGCTTGCTCTCCTTACACGAAAAATGATAATGTATAGCCATTGTTAAAATAATAGTCGGAAAATATATATATATATATATATATATATATTTGTATATATAATATACATCATGTATGTTTTATACAAAAATTATACAACTTTTATATACTTTTTCGGCTACCAAATATAAATAATTTGTGGTACGGACTAAAAGTAATAATACCCCTAAATTTCATTAACTTTACTACTACCACTTCTACTCCGTCATTTGACTCTATTTTGGAATCATTTATCGTTGGTCTAGTTTATATAAAAGTTACGTAATTTAAAAAGAGCGACAAAAAGTCACAGTAAGTTGTTATTATTATCGTCGTCATTTAAAAGTGTAATAAAACTACGTCATCCATTGCTTGCCACAAAAATAAAAATCCATTGCTTGCCACTGGTACAAGTTATCACTTATCATGACCATTTCAACATTATGAAATTGTGGTTATTTCCCAGAATCTTCTAAAGTCCAGCCCAACAACTACTGCAAGAGGAAGAGCCGAAAAAGAGGAAAACAAACAAAATTTTCGCTAGAGAAAGGGGGTGAACCTTCGACCTTATGGTTAACGGCCACACGCTCTAACCAACTGAGCTACTCCAGCTTCTTGGCTCGAAAATTAAAAAACAATTAAATAATACATTAGATAATAAGTTTTTTAGACTAGGTATTTACAAGTAAGTCCCCTTAAAATACGAGATTTATAACCTTGAAAATAAAAAAGAGTGACTTGATGGTATAATTTTTTTAATATTGTCGATGTATATAATTTAAGCTCTTAAAAAATTATACTAGACGCAACATGTCCTCTTACCATCACTGTTTTGTTGCTTAATGCACAAGGGGTCGTTTGGTAGGAGGTATTAAAAAAAATAATGCAAGCATTAGCTTTGTGCATTTCTAATCCCTTGTTTGGTATATTTTTTCACCTTATGTATAACTAATACGTTATACATCCTATTTGGTATTATCTTATGTATAACTAATACATAACGAACCATGGTATTAGCAGTGGTAAGGTTTTTAATACTTGCATAAGCATGGTTAAAAACGTAATTGCCCCTTAAATCCCTCAAAATGTCCAAAGTTAGAAATAATCTCAATATAACTAATATCATCATTACTAATACCAGCCTTGCTAATACACCCTATTCAACACTATTCTTATATCTCCTACCAAATGATCCTATGTGAGAATAGGCACAAAGAAAGATCAAAACAACAAATTTCAGACAGAATTTGAATGGGACGAGATGGCCAGCTAGTTGGATAAAAGAACTAGATGCACCAAAATATTACTCCCTCTTGTCCATAATAAATGACTTTTTAATTTTTGGCAAACACATTGAAATATGTAAATAAGGAAAAATTTAAAAAAAATAAAATTAATTTCTTCTTGATTGTGTAAAAGGACACTTATTTGAAACTTAAATAAAAATGCTAAAATATCACTTATTATGAACTGGGGATTAGTAGTGAAATGTCTTTTGGTGTATAGCCTCTTTTCTCCTTAATGCATTATTTTATTTTAAGACCAATATATTATCAAACTGTATAAGAAGACCTAAAATCTTGAACAGAGAAGTGAATGACAGAGACCACAGTGTATCATCAAATCATTCGCTGATTGACGTCAATAAAAATATATTTTAAAAAAAGGTACCAAAATGAAACCAGCACTCTGAAATATACACAACGTTGTTTAACTAACCTTTGTGACTTTGTCTCATTGCATACTTTTAACCCCCGCAAAAATACCTCATTTTCACTAATAACCATTTCCTGCAATACCACACTGACCAAATTACTAATACGTACTAAAATAATACCTACGAGTATATCCTACTACCTGATTTTGTCTGTACATGCTATTTCACTGCCACTCATCAGCTAGTACTATGGCAAAAGAAATTTAAAAGTGTGCATTGAATTGTACCTATCAGCTTTCCTTTTATATGTGCTTGCTTCCCAGGTTTAAATTCGCAGTTCTTACCTCAAATGTTAAAAGAACAAATAAAAAGCTTGTTTAATTATTGGCTCTTCATTCTTCTTTCCTTATTTATTGCACTTTTTTCACTTGAAAAGAAGAACTCATTATTCAATGCTGATGCTGCTATCAGCTGCTCTTACTTCACATAGTTTAACATTTAGCCCAGGCTAATGCTAAAAAGTCAATGGAGGGGTTCATTTCTTTGGTCCAATAGAAAATCAAGCTCTTCTGTTTGAATAACGAGAAGAAGCTTTTTTGGTTATAGTGCTTCGCCTATTCATGAAATTAGTTAACTATTCATACATTTTATTTCTGTTTAAGTTTTGTTCACTAACACAAAATTTTAATTTTTTTGTTTGTACTGACAGCATGTTTGGCCGAGCTTCTTTGAAAGTGAAAAAAGTTTTTTTTTTTTTTTAAGGTTATGTGTTTGGCCAAGCTTATGAAAGAAAAAAAAAGTGTTTTTGAGTAGAAACAGAAAAAAGTAACTTCTCTCAAAAAATATTTTTGAGAAAAATACACTTAGAAACAGTTTTTAAAAATTTGGTCAAACACTAATTGCTGCTCAGAATAACTTTTCAAATTAATTAATCAAATACAAATTGTTTTTCACCAAAAATATTTTTGAGAAAAACACATGTGAAAAAAATAATAATTCAAAATAAGTATTTTTTCAGCTTGCCAAACTGGCTATGAATATATCACACATTGATACGGTGTACTAATTTCATGAATTAAAAACAGAAAAGAATTTAAAGAAAGATTTTCTTTCTTGTCCAGTTTCAGAATATGACCAAAAGGGGGAATAGGAGGCTCTGCAGTCTAGGCACCCACAATTTTTCCTGTTAAATAACCTGTCAATTTTTATAGGCTGCTGTATATTCAGGTTTAACTCAGAACCTAAAAAGGTTACTTCCAGTTTTATTCAAGATTTGAAGCAACGTGTACTTAAAGGAACAAAGAAATGAGGGGGAATAAATAGATTAATCATAAGGTGAATTGAGTTGTCAAAATAAGACTAGTACAACTGTTACACTATTAATTTAAGAATAAAAATTGAAAGAAAAAGTTGTAAAGTTGTAGGCTTTTTGCTAGAATCACTTGTTTGAGAAGTAAAGATTTCGTTTTTACCAATACAATTCAGAGAGAAGCCTTAGAAAAATCCAAGGAGCTTTGGAAGGATTGCTTTTTGGGAAATGGGAGTTTGAGAATTTTGAGTCTCTCATCTTTTACTATCATCTTGTTATAAAGCTATCATGATATGGACTTCTTTTGAAGTGAACCAAATGATCAAACTCCAATTATTCTAATCCTCTGTTTTTGTCTGCTCCCTCTGTCTCTCTCTTTCGGACCTTCACTGCCTCATTTATACAAACATTTGGTGTGCGGATAGAAAATGAAGAGTAAATTATTCAGTTTTGTCTTAATTATATTCGCACTTTGTTTAATCTGTGTTAGAAGCAGGCCTTTGGCACCAAATCTCCATTCTTTGCAGAACAAACTGAGTACAAATGAGGTAACTTTTAACATCCTTTGACTAGTTTTCTCTTATATTCTTGATTAATGCATTGAAATGTACTAACAAGTTTTTTCTGCCTTTTCTTTTAAAGGGAAACATGAGCAATAAAGGACAAGGACAAGTGAAAGAAACAGAGGAATATAGTGATATGAGTAAAGAAGAGAAGAAAATGATAGGATCAAGTCCGCCGAGTTGTGAACACAAATGCTATGGATGTATGCCTTGTGAAGCCATACAAGTGCCAACCAACACAGGTCGAGTTGGAGTTCAGTACACTAATTATGAGCCAGAAGGCTGGAGATGCAAGTGTGGCCCTGAATTTTATACTCCTTAGACCATCTTTTATTCTGGCTAATATTCGTCTAATTAGTACAAAAAAAGAAAGCTACTATCAGTTTGGATTTAGTCCTATGTCAAGTTGGAATTATTTTTATGTTGTTATGAGTTACGACTTGTGAGTGTGTATAGTGGCTTTAAGAAATTTTGTTGATGTTAGTAATAGTTGTGTAGAAAACAAAGAGTAATGCAGTTTTCATTAATGGTTTAAATTTACTCCCAACAGTTTATCTTCACCAGACTGCTGTTCTCACACTTGGTTTAAGGATTGATTTAATTGCTATTATTCAGTTTTAGCACCCGTTTGGCCATAAAAATAATTTCACTTTTCTTCGGAAATTTTCATTTTTTTTATCATGAAAATTTTACATTTCACTTAAATTGAATTTCGGAACTCTCCAAAAAATTATTTTTCTGTTATAAGAAAAATCAAATTATGGTGGATGTCTATTCTTCCTCCATGATCTTCTCAAATGCTTAATGACATATTCAATAACATATTTCTATGCTTAATGACATATTCAATGACATATTTTTCTTTACTTTTCATGCCTATATAAAGGCCTTGTAATAGATAGGAAAATACACACAATTGAAGAAGAAAATCCCTTCCTTCTCTCTATCTCTATTTCTTATTCATGTTTTACTAAATTGCTTTTATTTCATAACAACATGTCTTGTTCATGTTTTACTAAGTTGCTTTTATTTTATAACATTTTCAATATTTTCATTTCAAATCACTTATGAACATCCAGAAAAAAATCCAAAATGTATTTATGTTCAAACACAACTTTAATTTTCAAATCCATTTGCTTATTAATTATTACAACCTCTATAAACTTTTATTACACACGCGATATGCTTATTAATTATTATAAAGTGATTTAAACCGTTTTATTTACTAAAGTTCGCTCAATTAATTTTGGATCTAATACTGGAATATCGGCTAACCAATACATATACTTAGCATCTTGTTTTATTTGGTCCTGAGCTGAAAAGAGTTCAGCGGCCAATAAGTTGTAACTCGAATCAGTTATAATTCCAATAACTTCTTGATCACTATTGTTGTTGTCCAGTTAAATCTTTCGTGCATATTACTAACTATATACTATACATCTTTTACACGGATAAATTAATATAATTAGAATTCAAAATAGCAAAAATAAGGTAAAACATAATTTTTTTTTTATATGAGTTGACTCGTTAAGTGGCAACCAGGTCAAACATAACGGGATAGTCTAATCGACATGATTCATCAACTAGCAAAATGAGAGACAAGAGACGAAAATAGTGAAATAAAAAAGAAAAAATGAATTAGTGGTCCTTTACTTGTTACTACTAGTAATTATCTTTAATTGAAAAACAAAAATGAAATAAAAGCATACATCATATCAGACGGGAAATTGACACCGAACATACAAGAGGAATTGAAAAATTATGGGCCTTAAATTATGTTGGCAAAGGCAGCCCAAAAATATGTAAAAATAGCACGGGCTAGCCAATTTTCGGACTGGTCATTCAAAATAGCCAGTGTTTGCAAAGTCATTGAAAAATAGCCACCATTTTGCTGCAATACGGAAAGTTCCAGCATAATATACTGGAGATCGGTGCACCTGTGTATGAACTTCCATCATATTATGCTGGACCGGTATATTATACTAGAACTCCAGTATATTATGCTGGAAGTCCAGTATACTTATGCTGGAACTCCAGTATAATATGCTGGAGTTCCAGTATATTATGCTGGAATTCCAATATATTATGCTGGAGTATTTTCCGGATTCTTAAAAGTGTTTTCGTTCAAATTTATCTTTACATGAAAAGTGGCTAAAATTCGATTACTTTTGAAACTGTGGCTATTTTTGAATGACCACTTGTAAATCTGACTATTTTTGAATTTCTCCCCAAAAATATTGGCATTATAGCCAAATTTTAAAAAACCTACTATAACCTACGTATCTTTTCTTTTCCCTCTCCCTTTTTTAACTTATATTTCTTCTACGATCTCTCCTCTTTCTCGGAAATTATTGTAAATTATGCACACACAAAAAAAGGTTGATTCCCTATAGACTATTGGGCTGGGCTTTATCTTAGTCTCAAAAGGATCGTCGTCCTTCATTAAGGGCCCAATTTGTTTCCGTCTAAACGGCCCAATTATATCCTCACCAAAAAAATACTTATTCTAACCCCCATAAGTTTCCAAATCTGAAGCGAACAGCTACTCTATCACTGCAAATCGAAGAAAAAATTTTCCGTAGTGAATCGTTCTTTCATCAATGGCTCTAAACTATGTACGTTCTTCTTTCTCTTTATCTCTCGCACCTTTATTTGGCGCACGATTTTAATTCTCCAAAAACAGGATTTTTTCAACAAAAAAATTACAGTTTTCGCAGGATCTGAGCTTTCAGTGCTCAATTGTATAATGATCTAATCTTGGGTTGCGATTGTAATTAATCTCTAAATTTCTATTTTACGTATCAATGGTTGCGATTGTAATTAATCTTGGGTTTAATTAGTCATAGCCATTTGATTTTCATAAATTAGATCTCGCACATACATATAGGCATGGACTTGGGACTATTTCTGTCATGTGTTATTTAGTACCTGTTGAGTTAATGAGCTAGGAACTTGCCTGCTGTGAGTGATGATGATTATTCGATTGTATAGGATTCTTGTCCTGTGGTAAAGAACATACTTCTTTTGGATTCGGAAGGAAAGCGTGTAGCTGTTAAATATTACTCCGATGATTGGCCTACAAACAGCGCCAAGATTGCCTTTGAAAAGTCCATTTTTACCAAGACTCAAAAGACTAATGCTCGCACTGAAGGTATTTGCTTATTGACCTGTTTTTGCTTGCATGATCTTTGATGTTCTTATCTGAAATAGTTAGCATGCCTCCGCAAAATACGCTTGCATTTTGCTGTCCTATATAGGAAGGAGGCGGATCCAAGATTTGAACTTTATGGGTTCGGTATGCTAGGACAGCTACCTCCAAAAGTGGAGCTAGTATTTGAAATTTATGGGATCTAAATTCTAAGATTAGCAACATTATTTGTGCACCGGGCTGCTTTTTTTTAAAAACATTTAGTGGATTGCTTAGTGGCCTGTTTTGCTTGACTAAAAGGTTTGATTTTTACTTTTGTTTGATATTCTAGGTTAAAATACTCTGGATATTGGGTCAAATATGAATCCCTTGTAGTTAGGACCCTCTAAATTTAATTTGTTTGATCTTATCTTTCAAGTTTTGATCTGCAGCTGAAATAACAATGTTAGAAAACAACATTATTGTTTATAAGTTTGTGCAAGACCTCCACTTCTTTGTGACTGGAGGTGATGATGAAAATGAACTAGTTCTAGCCACTGTTCTTCAGGGTTTCTTTGATGCAGTTACTCTTCTCCTAAGGTATTGATAGTGAAGGCACTGAAAGTTTCCTGGACTTTAGGATTGTGGTCTTTTGATCTGTGCAAATTTGCTGCCTAATTCACCGTGCAATGATTTCAGGAATAACGTTGAACAGAGGGAGGCACTTGAGAACTTAGATCTCATTCTTTTATGCCTTGACGAGATTGTGGATGGAGGGTAAGTCGTTGGCTCTCTATTAGTTGTATTCTCGCATGTTACTGTCTTTGGTTTTCACTTTCCATTTTTTATTTGTTCATCCTTCCTTCGCCTTCTTTGTTTAGTGTTCTGTTGCTACTAAGGAAATTGTCATGCTATTCTTTCCAAGATCAAAGAATACTTAGGGGTCGTTTGGTAGGAGGTATTAGAAAAAACAATGCAAGCATTAGCTTTGCATATTACTAATCCTTTGTTTGTTACTTTTTTTCAACTTATGTATAACTAATACATCATATTTGGTATCATCCTATGTATAACTAATACATAGCAAACCATGTTATTAGCAATGCAAGAGTTTTTAATACTTGCATTAGCATGGTTAAAGATATAATTGCCCTTCAAATCCCTCAAAGTGTATAAAGTTAAAGAATTTGGAGGGTATTTTTGTAAACAGTAACTTTTTTAGAAAATATGCAATGTTTTAATGCACCCAACCAAACAGTGGATAAGATATAATCTCAGCATAATTAATACCAGCATTGCTAATACATCCTATTCAACACTATTCTTATACCTCCTGCCAAACGACCCCTTACATTTTAATAGATGCTAGAACTTGTGGCATATTAGATGCATGTGTAATTGAACTAATCTTTCAATTCAGATATGCTCTAATTCAAAGTGGAATTATAAATTAATTACTTGTTCAAGCCAAAAGAATATAAAAACAAGAGATAATTGGCGCAATGATTTGGGAGGTGAGTGTAGTGAAAAATTAAATGCAAATAAGAATTTAGCCTTGGGCTTTGCATGTTAGAAGAGAACCCTCTGAGCACATATATACAGACTTCTTACAGGAGAGACTGGTAGTTACTCTAGGGCATTTGGTCTTCATTTGTGTATAGATAGATAACAAATTCATAGTTATGAACCGCCACTGCACGAAGGATTTCTGGGTTATCAAACAAAAAAAAGAAAGATAATAAGTTCATAGTTTAGCATTGTCTATCCATACTCTTGTACTATTGACCAGTGGCTTGCATTATGGAGGCATTTTATTGACTGTGAGGCCATGGAAAAACAACATTGCAATCCTCTTACAAAAACTAAATAATGCCTTATCACATATTTAAAAGCGCCAATATGGAGTGAATTGACAGTATTGCAACATGCTGCTTTTTTAACTTGGCCATGGATATGGTTGCCCTCAGTAGTTTTGCATTTCCTGCCTTCCTCCTTCTATCTAAAGAAAAAGCTTAAAACAAGTAGAGAACTGGAAAAGGTAGAGCACCATGCTTTTTAGACTTAATTGCCATGCTCTTTTCATCAGCTTTTGGGTGTTATGGAGATCGAACAGACAGAATATTTCATGTGAAAGCTGAACCCATTGCTGCTAGTTGGAGGATGTAGAAGTATAACAACTAGTTTGCTGTACATCAGAGTAGATTCAATTTATGTTGTTGTGACCAGGAAAATTTGCTCCAATGTGCCATAACCCAAGAATTAGTTTGCCCTTTTTTTAATTCTCATCTTCTTATTTGTCATGATGGAAGAGCAGGTTTTAATATTTCGGGTAAATTGAACATTCATTTCATAGGTGCACCGAAAGAATTTTTCTTCAAATGCTG